TGCAGTTTCTATTTACTCACAGCATTTGATTTTGAGATTTTCGATTTAATAAACTTTTTGTTTATTAAAATGCAATATTTAAATGTTCATTTCTCAGTTACTAGATTAAAACGTGCGCTGGTGATCTGGTTTTCTGCTGGTGATTATGTTTGTCTGCCTGATTTTTACTTTCACTTTGTAACCTAATATCCCGGAAGCCACGGAGAAGCGCCTCTGGGAGGAATGTAACAAGGTGTGTGTTACACTGATACAATGTTGCGTTTCTAATCCGGTTTAAAGATGTTCTTCTGTAGCAGGAGAAATCTCATATTTGAAGTCCACTAACGAATAAATGAAAAGTTGCGTTGTGTCTGACAAGTAATGAAAGGGAACGCAGAAACTCTTAACTCTTTTTTTCTTTCTCGTTTTGGTTTCTAATGTGTTTCTCTGAAGTTTGTCTGTGGCTCTTCATTGCCTTTGATCGTCGGGAAATATTTCAAGAGTTTTGTCAGAAAGAATGTTCTCTGAGTTACTTCCGCAGTCCTTCATATGGAGGGTGTTTGAATGTTGCACTGGGTTCATGCTGATGGTGTGTTTGTGTTGCTCTAGGGAAGTTGTGTTTAGGAAGAGAGGAACTATGGCTACAGCAGCGAGCCTGAGTCTTATGAAGTCTGGAGATCTGATCAAGAAAGAGCCTTTGGATTACGGAGGGTTTGGGGAGGTTTACCTGTGTTACCACAAAACCCTGGGCCAGGTGGTGCTGAAGACGGTCTACACCGGCCCTCCGCGCAACGGGTGAGTGTGGAGCATCTGCTCTGGCTTCAGATGCTCAGATGCTGTGGGAACTGACTGAGTTGAATGTGTCTGACTCAGCCGGCAGAAGCAGTCTCTTCTGGATGAAGGCAGTCTGATGAGCAGGTTAAGCCATCAGCGAGTGGTCAAGCTGCTGGGGGTTATTCTGGAGGACGGAGACTATTCTTTAGTCATGGAGCTCATTCCTAAAGGAAACCTGCTCACCATGCTGGAGACGGTAACTGGTGAAATATACATGAAGTTGCATACATTTTTATCTGTCCAGAATGTCCAAAAACGCATTGATTGTGTCAAAACAGGGTTAGCCCTTGTGCATCCGTTTAAAAAGGTTAAACAGAGCTCCTTAGCTGACGAAATAGTCCATGTCATAAAATATTATATTTTAATATGTTTTTCCACTATCATCGGTGCTGATCATAACTACCAAAACATCAATTTTCAGGATTTCAACCCTTTAAATGTTTTAAGTTTGTTTACGTAATGCAACTGTTGCTTAAAAGAAAAGACAAAAATCTATTATTTTCCATATAATAAATGCTAAGATTTTGTTTTGGATTATTACAGTCTTGCATGTCAGTGATTAGCAACAGCATTCATTTTGGTGCACTATTTATTTTTTTGTGCAGTGTCAGATTTTTTTAAAAATACCATTCACATGAACACAAATTTGTAAGTATACGAATTTATATTATAAAATCTATGCTGTTTGCATTAACACACATTTAAAAAAAAAAAA